AAAAAAAAAAAAAACTAGCCAACTGTACCACATGAGACCTCTCCTGGGTCCAAATTTGTCCTTTGCCGCTTGGAAGGCTCTTTTCTCTGCTACTTCTGTAACATGTTGTCCTCTAATTTAATATTAATGAGTTTTATGGGATTTATGCAAGAATAGAGTCGGTATGGAAGATGTTGTTGCGGTGTCCTCGCAAGGTTGCGAACTGTGCGAACTGGACGACTTATAAACAGTTGCCTTTCGAATTAGTAAACAAATCATAAGAAGGGAGGAGGCAGTGCTCCACGAAAAAATCAAAGGGAGTTTCAGGGCGAAGGGGGCTATTACTTAGTCCAACGGTGCGACCCTACGACATAATTACCAGTGGCACGATAACACCAGTCATAGAAAGGGTGTGTGGCTGGCCAGTAGAATGAATGCGCAGATTCCGTTTGCCGATACAGGACAGATGGGATAGTTACAAATCATCATATGGTAAATCATATCTCACACAAATCAATGACTTGCAGTATTTCTTTTTTTGTTTCATGCGACTTGCACCATACGATTCATACCGAAGCCCAAAGGCAAAATCTCACCGCAGATTAGCACCTCAGCGATACGACGGTCTATAGAGCTTTCTACACCATGCCAATCAATCAACAATCTCTCAAGGTTAGCCTTCCATGCTTAAACTCTATATGACATCATATCCTCGTGACAGGGGCTCTGGCCTGCTTTGGAAGCGAGACGAGATAAATAGGTGTGGTGAAAGTTCAAATAATGTCAAAGCACTATAACATTATACAGTTACATGTAATGAAACCTTAACAAAGCCGTTAGGTTCCGTTTGTGAGACAATCATTGGAAATGCAACAACTACAGTCATTCTCGGGATCGGCTTGGCAAATACACATTCATATCGTTGGAATTTTAACGTTATATATGCTGAGATAAGTTACGGAACTCCTTCACGTCGGCAGAATACATCGAGGTCGACGGTGAAAGGTAATTAACAAGGCAATCAAAAGGTGCAGCGATATATGCCGTTAACTTGCTCTGCAGCAGAAAGCGGAACCCATGCAACACCGAATAGCACCAATGCCTGGTTACTGCGTTATGTCAATTTTGATCTAATAATCAACAGGCAGCCCGTCGACCGCCAATATATATCTTTCATAAGCGGCACCCCACAGGGACTTTTATCCATGATATTCAATGCTGTTAAGACCGGCCTCGTCTAGAATCAAGAAAAGACCCTACTGATGGCCAAAGAGTGTGTGCATTAGTGCTCATCCATTGTCATTGTGTACGGAGTCTCGGCGCAAGATCCTATTAGCCCTCTTTTACAGAGATCGCACTCCTGCTTGACTGATGCTGAAAGATTGAAGTAGCCGGCGAATCATGTTGATCAGAAGCGCCACCGCCGCTTCCATTTACTATTCTTTCATTTTACGGCCTCTTCCCTTGGCTTTGATATGGCTGGGAGAGCAGCCTCATCTTTGGCTACATTTGTGTTGGTGTCTGCTCGGTCGAGCGAGATGTATCTGAAGTCTGAAGTCATCGGTGACACCTATGTCCAGTCCCTCCGCGATGAAATACCATTCGATTTGATTCCTTGGAATATAACGTTGTTGACCATGATGTCCTATCTAGGTCCGTTCATCCCCCGTTTTATGTGCATAAGGCCGGGAATGGAAAACTATTGCAGAGACGTGTTGAACCCACACGTAGGCTCAAAAGAACTGTTGGCTGACTGATTCTCCTCCGTTAGTCTCTTCTTCAACCGGATGCTTAGTTTGAAGGTCTAAGGCGTCTATGCAAATAGTCGTTTCGCACAGAGCCGTAAGAACATAAATGGTACTAAATCTTCTTTCCACTATCTATAGAAGTGTTAATAGCTGCTGGAGGGATTTGTTTGGGCAGGAAAGCTTACGGCTTCGTTGGTGTCGAGCTAGATCTTTTTCCCGCAAGTAAATCTTGCCAAAACCCTCAATTTTACAAATAAATCTGGAGGCTTTTACCCCAGGAAGCTTTGTTTGTTGGGTTTCTGAGACTTATTAACCTGGCCTTACTCATAGGGGTGTGATAGAACATACCATGAGCATGTTCTAACCCATGCGTATCAGTGGTAGAACCCATGTCTTTTATAATCATGTCAATAAACGGCCTGGAATATTTTTCAAGAGGGGTAAAGAGCAATTCAATAGCTTCCCGAACTTTCTCCAGCTTAGTCTCATAAATTCTCCAAGCCGCTCGTTGAAATTTTTCTGTAAATTCTCGCCGCTCTCTGCCATTTCAGCTTTCCAATTAATGATTTGATGAATAAAGGATTGATGGTGCTCAGTAAGGCGATTGATTGAATCTTGAGTGAGTCTGAACTTGACATGCTCTCCAGATATTTCGGGATATGCAGAGATAGTAATACCGTCAAATCTAATCGAAGAGGAGGTAGGACATGACTCAGTTTCCATGGTTTGATTGTTGGACGGTAATCTGGAATATCCTAGAGAGTCATCTTTGTTACTACACCCAAGCGATGGACTGGGGGCGATTAAAGGGTCTGGTAGAAGATGTTAAATACCCGAAAAAAAATATTAACAAACAAACAAGAGACTGAAATATCCGACGAATAGTTGAAGTAGTCAGCAAATCAAACAATTCTTGAAGAGAGAAATATAAATATATAAATCTCTTTAGGATCCAAGAGGGAGCTGGGTGTTATTATGATTGTAAATAGCTTAAAAGGGAAGAACGAAGGAAGGAAGGAAAGGAATAATTAGTTAAGGGGCTTGTTCTATATTAAGTAATAAGGCTGTCTATTTCAACATGGGTGTTTACGTGCTGATGATAACCATATCCTATCTCATTCCCCGAAATTAAGATCCTTGGTAGAAAATATAGAAGGATCCTAGAGTCTAGAACTTTGGCCAGGGACAAACACAATTGGATCTCTATTCGGGGTTTCCGACTGGTTCAGGCTTTTATTTGGACTGGAAAGATGAAAGAAAGTACAAGGCTGCAAAAGAGGTTATATGACTATTATAAGTAGCAAAAGTCTAATATTAAGTACATATTGCCAGCAGCACAGCGCCTTGCTCGCCAGAGCCTCGATTGCTGATGGCAGCATGCTAGAGGGCACAATCGTGGAGTTGATGCTGGAAGCCATTTAGACTCAAATATGATGGAGTAGTTTGGATTGGTGGCTCTACTGCTCATTCCTATAGCAAAATGAATCCTCTTTATATCACATATCAAGACAATCTAACAAGTGAATTTATTGAACCAAGCATTTGATGGTCGTCCCCTGCTAGTGACTTAAAAAAAAGGCCAAAACAAGAAAAGAAGAAAAGGAGTTAGGGAGTCTAGTGCCGCTCTCACGCTTGGGCAATTGCGAACAGCGGGCTCATCCTAAACAAACGCGCGCAGCGTATTCTAGACCAGCGACGATCGAATCCCTTGAGAAACGAGATAGATGTCTAATGCAGGTGGATTGTCTGTCACGTCACTTTCCTACCCTCACTGCCATGGAATCCAGCAAACTCGGATCCTGGAAACCCCTGCTTCGTGCTATGGCACTACTGAAAAGCATGATGAAAGGCTTCTGACTCTTCAGCTGAGCTCTACAGCAGTCATTACATTAAGACTAGGCTTTTCCTAATCAAGTGGTTGCATGTTGTTGGCCAAGTGTCAACAGTGTGGGTGCTAGCTAACATTGCCCACTGGTCATCTCCAAGCACTCCAGACAGCTCTCATGGCCACATACACTACACAAGAGGCCTGAAGGGCCCACTCCATTCACCTTTTTCTTACGCGCACAACAAAGTCGTGCAAGACGCATACGAGGCGATCGTTTTACCCAATTACTCTGCAACCTATCTCCGGCTCCCCTGTACTCTCCATTTAGCTGCATGTCGCACAAAATCTCTCGAGATTCATCAGAATCAGTTTCATGCTGCGAACTTTTAGATAATACTTGCAGGTGAGACCTTTCTTTCTTACCATTGTTTGATTGTTTCGAGGGATTTCTTTCTTCCTTGCAACGAGCTCTTCCTTGTTTGCACCGGTATTATGACGCTTCCTGTTCTTCCAGTAGATCAGTAACTGACTATTTTAAACCCCTTTTGGACAGATGTACAGAGCTCATATTATTCATCATGCAGATCGCAATCATGTGCAGCTGATTCGAGATCAGGGAAGTACTTCTCGAAAAAAAAGGACGTAGGAGGGAGAGTAAGAAAAAGCCCTAATAACAGCAGTACGAGTGATATGACTACAAATAGAAGAGTATTCATATTCGATGTGATACTCATCTAGAGGAAGCACTTTAGTTTATATATCCAAAGATGAGTTTATTTTTAGCCACGTCCATGGACTAGAAACATATTCCGTTACAGAACTAGGTAACTCTATAGCTCGACAAGTGGCTTCTATATTATATACATGATGGTTGAAATTGCAACAAGAAGAGGATAAACAAAAAAAGAAGCAGTAGTGATCAATTTGCTCACAAGTCAGGTCACTTCGTGGGATTCACTTGAAATCATCTCGATCCTTAGCATAGCTATACGGAACATGCACCCAAACGTTCTCTCCTGCACAGTGAAACAGTACCTCAATTTCGTCTTTGTCTGAATCTGGTGTAGAGGATCCAGCCCCTTTGATCTTACAATGATCAAGGCTTATGGTAGTGACATGGATCAGCTCGACCATACGTTCACCGGTCAATTTGTCGACAAATGATGGAGAAGGAAAAATGTGATCATCACCGAAAATAGTACCTTGACAGCAGAGCTCAAGGCACTTAGTTCTTGTGTCTGTATTCATAGCGGTGGTGTTTTGATCATATACACTATCACAACAAGGTTTGACACCCTTGGTCTCCGCGTTCGTATAGAATTCGACAACAGTAGCTTGATCGGATTCACGGTGCAGCCCAGGGCGTTCAGTCTCCGCAATGGTACTTTCGGCTAGCGTAGCTTGATCAGAGACACTCTCAGAGTAAGGCTCAATACCCTTGGCTTCCGCATTCATATTCTGATCAGTGTTATAATCCCCCTTAGCGCCAATGCACTTGGTCTCCAGGATGGTGCCGTTCTCAATGATGGGATCCACTCCATTGATGTACCTTGTCTGTCCACGAAATAAAAATTAGAACACAGGTCATAGCTACCTGATTGATGATACTCACAGATTCTATTTTGGCCTCGAATGGAGGCATGTCACCAGTGAAAGCAGTCAGGTCTTTAGAGCGCCTTCCCAAGCACTGGAGTAAGGCACTGTACAAAGGCATGGTAGGGGGGGGAATTTTGAAATAATGGATTCAATGGAAAGATGCATTGGTCTGTGCCAGATTGCAGTGAGTATCTAGGACAAGGCTGGCATCTTTATAGACATTGTGAACCTCGCTTCACTTTTCTCGGCAGGTTGGCAGGGATGATGATTCCTGTGAGCCAGCCATTTCCGGTCTTAAACAAACAAAGGCTAAGATCTTGCTGATACGTAGAAATTGTGTACTTTGGGGGTAGCTCGAAGTGATAATCGAGGACAAAAAAAGGGCTTAACTTCCAAATTAATCACCGCTATCTGAAGCTAACGCTAACCTTAACTTAATTTGTCTCACCTCACCTCACCTCACCTCACCTCACCTCACCTCATTTCACCTCACCTCATTTCACATCATTTCACGTGACGTGACGTTGTCTCACCTCACCTCACCTCACTTCACTTCACTTGACTGACTTCACCTTGTCTGTCTTTCTTCAGAATTATTGTTTACCCTGTCAAACATGTCCATCTCAAACAATGAAATGTTAGTTGATGTATGCGAATCAACAAGGAAGAGTTTCTCGGACAAATTCTATCCACTCACAACCGAACGATCACAAGCTATCCAGAGATGCACGGCAATTGTGAAAATAGACCGTGGCTCAATTAGCAAGAATGGGCCTAAACTGCGCGCACATACCATCCTCTCTGATCTTTGGTTATACTGTCCGGAGGTCTTTATCCTTTGCGCATTATCAACGTATCCAACAAAAATTGGTGGCCTGAAATCGGACGATTATCTTGAAACGATGTTACGCTGGTGGGAAAATGTGGCGCACCCAAAGGGATTGACCGCGGTCCTCATACAATATCCAGATATCCTACCAGGAAAGCCAAACATGCCATGTATGTTATCTCATTGGACCTCTGCTCTGACCTACTCTAATATATCTAAGCACCCTCTTCATACCCCGCCCATTTGCAGGAAAGTGATCTTATCGATTTCCTCACGAGTGGTTCGAGAGCACACGGGCCGTTGACAATCAAAGTGCCAGATGACTATGACGAGATGCCTGTTATTGAAATATCTCGAGAAATGTGCCAAGACCTGATCCGATTCGTGTTGGAAAGACAGAAGGAAAGACTGAGCCACGAGTTCAAGGCTACTGAGGATAGACATATAGGACCGTAGGTTCTCCGTACAGCATACAGGTCTGACCAGGAGAGATATTTGCCAGTTGATATCCAGTTTCGCCGCGACCAGTATAGATTATCTTTGGTTCCTTGCCGCCGCCAGTTACTTGAGCATATCCAAAACCGCTACTTTTGTCCACGACAACCGCACAAACATTCGGAGCTTGTTCATTCTTAAAGTCGTTTTCGCCGGTGGTTTCGTCAGGAGCAATATGGACACTTTTATAATCTGTTAACTAGCTCCGTCAGTATGCACTTACATCAACAGGAAGGCCAAAATAGTTACTAGCATCTCCGCGTTCTCCCGCAATTTTATCTTGTCTTCCTCCTTTCGAGATGAGCTCATTTGTGACGGATAGGAAAGGAAATCGTCGAACGAAATGTAAAGGTGTCAATAGTGTCTCTAGAAACGAGTGGTTAGAAATGTTTGAAAAATCGATATTTGAACACTACCTGACGTCAGAAAATTTTCGCTGCGCGGGTTCGTGGAACAACCATTAACAAAAAGCTTTCACCAGGTCTATAAGAAATTGAATCAGCAACGTAGATTAAATTGATGGAATATTACTGATCTTTGACAACATTGTTCAAGAAGTAAATACAAGAGGTAGAGGCTAGCTGCCCAAGAAAGGGCTCTATGCCACCTCTCAATGCCACCAAACACGCGGGGCACCTAGCCCAATCCCGACCGTCGGCGGGGAGCAGTCACATGATCAAGAATAGGAGCTCTAGCGATCACAAAGCCTTGATCTCCAGTATTTCTTTCAACAAATACTGAATGGCACCTTGAGACCCAATGACAACACATGATCCTGATTAGCAACAACTTCTCCAGGCACACTCGAATTATCCATCATCTTGAGGATTTGTCTCAGCGTTGTAATCTAAACCGCACCAAAATCAGTCCCTCATACCTGTCCTGTTGTTGAAATATTGCCCCTCTTTCCTCATGATAGCTGCAGTCATCCGTCAGGTTCATGTTCAGATATATACTCGTTTGCGCAAGCTCTCTGTTGTCATCAGCATCTGATGGTTTGTGGCCGTAGCTAATTTTTGGAAACGTACGTCACGGGACAGGAATGAGAAGACTAAAGCCAAATCAGGACAGGGCAGAAAAGAGGCAAAGTTGAGTAGCAAGAGTGATTGAATGAAACAATGTAGAAGCAGTAGGTAGAAGCCTAGTAAGTAAGTTCTTATATAAATGTATCTTTCATATTTGAGTTACCAAGTGCGCATACATATGTAGGTTACATGCTGATACGGTTTGGTTTAGCTTAGTGTGGCGTGGCGAGGGGAAGTGAAGTAAAGTGAGTTGAGTTGAGTTGAGTTGAGGTGAGGTGAGATGAGGTGATATGATATTGGAATATCAGCCACGTAATTGGGGAAATAGATACTCCCGATCAATGAGGCTTTAGTAATGTGGTGCAGCACGCCTTTGCTTAGCGCCTCCACGCTAGATGACCAACATCGAAATGTAGGGCACCGCGGCATTTAGTTTCAGCCTCTTCAGCACCGATTGATGGTTGCCAATGAATACGCGCACTGCTTATGTAGAATATGGCCAGTGTTGAGCGAAACCAAAATATATAAATGCAAGCACGGTTGAGTCCAAGAAGAACATGTCCCTCATCATTCCATTCGCCTCATTCATATAAAAAAGGTCCATCCTCACCATCGCCATCACCAATCACTATCGTCCAACATCTAATACCAATCGCCAATCGCCAATTTCCAGTATGTCGCGATCATTCTCAACCACCATGCGGGCACTGCTCGATATCGCTTGGAAAAGCACGAAAGCGAACCCAGATTACGATACGATGATTACCCGCTCAATTGAGACACACCCGAAATTGAGTAAATGGGCTGAGAAGGTCGAAGTTGCGTGAGTGACGCAGATCGCTGCAAAACAAGTATCTTGCTTATCATTTTGCTAGGGGTGACGAACATGGCTCTAATGCAGACCCTGATCTGCGCGTATCGGGGCAGATATTCAACAAGGAGGGAGTGCGGATTACATCGGGGCATTGGTACAAAGACGGGCGGGTGGTGTATTCGAAGAACACCTTCAATAAATGATTCGACTAGCCATGAGGAGGGCTCTTTAGAGAAGCATTATTCGTCAGATTAGTTGGTAGAACTTTCTAAGATTGGTTATGTTCTGAGTAACCCGTGGGTTACATAGCAATTCGCCAAGAGCCCGAAGCTTAGTAACTGATATCACGGAATACGTATAAAATAATTTCATTTATACATGAAAGCCGCCGTAACTATTGCATATATTACCGTTATTTACTTTTCTTGGCGGATTCTGGGTCGGAGTCCAGGTCGAAGGGACATGTAAATCACATGACGAGTTTCCTGTTGGTTCGTGCATGACATTGCGCTTATATAAACTCGCCTCCCCTGCTTTCAACACGATCAACATAAATCAATGCCAGAGTGCGCAGCGAGTAACTTACTTATTTCTTTGTGGCCATGTATCTTAGAAGAATCATTCAATCCGTTCCCTGCAAACCCTCCCCCCTCCCGGCAAAATTACTCCCTACAGCAGATCTGATCGAGGAAGAGCACACGGCCCATTATAAGCCTCAGCACTTTTATCCTGTACGTCTTTATGAGATACTCAACAACCGATACCAAATCGCCGCCAAAATAGGCTGGGGAACAAGTTCGACAGTATGGCTAGCACGCGATCTCCACCAGTATGTGAACATTACCTGATAATATATTCAAGCCTTGTCTCACCATGTCATAGGTGGCGATGGCTTCCGCCCCGATATGTGGCCATCAAAGTTAACGCGAACAATTATGAATCTCAAGAATCTGCGGAGAAGGAGCTGCGCATTACCGAGCATATAACCAAGGCAAACACTGAGCATCCAGGCCGTAACTTTGTCGCCACCTTGTTAGACTCGTTCCATGTTGCTAGCCCAGGCGGCACTCATATTTGCATGGTCTTCGATGCGCTTTGTGAGCCACTCTGGATGCTGAAGCGTCGTTTCGAAGGAAACACTATCCCTCTTGATGTCTTGAAACCCGTGTCTAAACTCATACTAGAAGGACTACGGTACCTCCACACCGAATGCCACGTTATTCACACAGGTATCTAGTTATTCAACCGACCCAATCCTATAATCAGTCACAGCTGACGGACAAGAAGATCTCAAGTCCGATAACATCTTACTGGCCCTACGCAACCCGTCTATCCTGCACTCGGTCGCACAAGATGAGATGAACAATCCTTCTCCACGAAAACATCTGGACGGTCGGGACATTTACCTATCTCGGAATTACTGGGGACTGTCGCCCAACGAACTGGGTAGATCGGTAATAACTGACTTTGGGCTTGCTGTGCGTGGTGACGGGCCCCCGAACAGCCACTACATCCAACCAGAGGGGTATCGGGCTCCGGAAGTTTGTCTCGGGGGCAACTGGAGCTATAGTGTTGACGTTTGGAACTTAGGAGTTATGGTAGAGACCTCGTTATCATAATTGCGATCATCGCTAATAGTCTATGAGCTTTGGGACCTGTTCTACGGCTGTGGTCCCTTCGACACACCACCGGACTCGTGCGGCTCAGGCTCATCAGACGAAGCCCATCTAGGCAAGATAATTTCCCTCCTGGGCCCCCCCCCTCCTGATCTTCTCAGCCATGGAAAAGAAACATTTCGGTATTTTGACGCTCAAGGTATGCTAGTTGTGTTCTAATTAGACGCAGCTAATTGGTTTGATAGGACAATTCAAATTCCCCGAACTCATTGGGAAAAAGGACCTGGTCTCTATGGCTAATGAAATTGACGATGACGATGGAATACCCCAGTTTGTAGACTTTATTTCTAGAATGCTGCGTTGGAGGCCCGAGGACCGGACCACGGCGCAGGGCCTGCTTTTCCATCCGTGGCTTCCGCAAATGGGACCTGTGAATGGATGAGAAGGAGCTTATATGTACAGTAAATATATATCATTCCGCTCGAAATTTAGGCGTTTCTTTCCGTACCACGATCCGGTATATTCAACGGCGAGAAAGACGCTGCTTTTCACGCCTCCCGGTTACTGATGATCCTTATGCTTGGGCAGACCTTAGAGCCAAACTCGCGGAAAAAGGAATATGTGCTGGACGTGGCATGTGTTGAGTGGTATAACGACCTGGATCTCGGATTCCTTGATACAGGTATGTCCTAGATGGTTGAGAAAGGAGATGTCATCAAACCACCCTAAGGCGCTTTTTGATTTTTCAAGTCTTGCTGTGCAATGTTCTACCCATACTCAGTTAATGACTCTATTTCCTTGGGTAGATATCAATTCTAACTCGCCGTACACCAGAAACGGCCATGCGACCGCTTGGATGATTTTGAAGAACTGTGTTGAAAACGAAATTTATAAATGTCATGCTTCTTAAAAGCATAAAATGAAATTGAAATTGACGCTGCCTGATTATACCGGAACATAAATGTAATGGAATACAGTACTTCTGCGGAATTCAAGTGCCTGATCAAAGATTCAAGCTATCTAGGACCTTTTAAGACAACTACTCTTTGAGCATGGCAGAGATACAAGGGTATTTGATTGTCACTGGTTCAGCCACCAGCTTTTTACGTACTGTATCTGCCGCACTATCCTGAAGGTTTGAATCCTAGTTCTTCATCTACGTCTGTGATTTACGGAAATGCCTCTGGTCCGGCTTTTTGGGCGTGGAGGACCAGAGGCATTTCCGTAAATCACAGACGTAGATGAAGACGATATATGACAAGCGATAGGCAAGCAATCCAATCGCAATAGGATCCTGGATACAGTGTTATATGTTGTGGTCTGCCAGTGCATCGCGACTGAAAACAGAAAACAGCACACTTTTCCGAGCCACGTGTAAGATTCTCCCTCGTGGAGCTGAAAGCCAAAGCCATAGAGCAATTGCAGACAGAGCGAGATTGCCGAACAGATGGGGGAGAAGGTTAAGTTCGATCCGTATTGCTGTGTGTACAAGTGTTACTGTATTGATGTTTCTCCAAACTTATGTAAGGACGCTCTCCGAACCTCGTGAGAATTTATGGTGCTGGCTTTCAAGAGGCGAGACGTGCTGTAGATGCTTAAAAAAAGGGCGATTCTACTGTATTTGGGATGATTCAGTTTCATCTACTGTCTCCATCTCCGTTATGTGAGTGCCTTTGAGTTGATGTCAGTAGAAAGTGTATATCATCTGTTATTGTTACCAACCCCCAGTTCTTTGTGTTCTTGGTGATACCGAAGATAGGGCCCATGCCAAATACCTGAGTGCCGAGGGCGCATTATAGGGTGTCCTGCAATTACTATCAAGCTGGAAATTTGAGTGAATCATAGGACTTAGCAGATCTACCAATGGATGCAAATGTGTTAGCTATAAGGCAGATTTCCATGAATGTATGCCCCCTTGAGGAATACTTGGTGGGATTAAAATACTTGGATTCTCTTTGCTTGGTTGCCCGGGCTTTAACCAGTCGACCAAGAACTGGATAAAATAGCTAAATCCACTTCCACGTTTAGGGTAATCTCCCGAATACTCTGTATGCATGATTTGACTCTGATGGCAATACGTTGATTTTTAATGTCAGTATAAGCATCCAAGGAGTTTGGTCTTTCATTGGATTAATACAAAATGAAAGCCAGATCAACTGGCGATGGTGGAGACTAGCAGAACTATTTGATCACACCCACTCACGTTTTTTACCCCGCAAAAGGTACTTTCTTCAGTCGACAACCCAGCACCACCACTCAGTCTCATCTCTACCATATATCTCGCGGCCTCGTTCATATGCGGAAAATAGAGGTCATAGAAAGCCGTTGTCCTCATAGATCAAATAGCCACTTCATCAACCGAAAGCGACATTCTCAAAAATCGTTGGAGAGAGCGCCAGTGATACTAATTGTTCCGAATTTGCCATGGCCCAGCCGTTCCATGCATTTTATTATTTGTCGGATATAGGGTCAATAGTTCTGATGAGGTTGTAATATCCGAAAATAGCCCCCTTGAAAGCTTAGTATTTGAGCCCCGCGACCCAAGTTGGCCTTCAATATTGAACATCATCTGATTTTCCCGAACGTTCTTTTATCATTCTAGCCAACGAAGCTTCAGGCGAAGGATCCCTAAGAACGCTATCCTTCAGCTTCATAATATCGCAGTCGTTTCCAGACCGTAAAGCGCATATCATTTCGAGAAGCAAACTCTCCATCGTTCGTGACCTATGTTCAAGCAGCTCCCGATAACTTCTCATGCGCTTATCCTGGGAAAAGTCAAAAGTGCACATGGATTGTGTCTCTTCACAGCCTTGACAAGGATTTCTGCCGATACACTTCGCTTTGTTAATAGCTGAGAAATTGCGTAAGCGGGAAATATGTCATACCTTCTGTTTTCTTTGTTTGCATCTAGTACATGCTATAATTCGACGCTTGCGCTCCTTATGGTAGTTGGTATGTTCAGTACGCCCCTGATAGAGACCATTGAGTGGGGCAGGAAGTAGGCACCGAGGCCGTGGTTTCTCCTGATTGTCCATCTCGAAGATGCTGATAATTGGCACCCCAAAGAATCTACGCAGGCTGGAAGAGGTATATATGAACATGCCAGTCACGGCTCAGGGGCTACGTAGGTCAAAAATGAACTGGATAAGACCATGCGGATGCCCACTGTGTTTCATTGTAACAAAGAGATAAAGACGTGGTAAGCAGGTGTGATAGGTGCCTACAGCAACTCTTTCAGTTTTATGGTCATTGTGGTGATCATTGGCTGATGGTAACACTAACAGACGCCACTACGGTTGTTAAACAAAGAGGATAAACACAAATGCAAGGCCTAGGCAATCATTTGAAATACTCATCCAAACGAAGTTGTGCAGGGATCATTGTTCGGTGGATCTAGGACATTGGTTTGCGAACGTAGTTATCAGGTAAAGAATTTTCATAGTTAAGATACTTCATGGTCCATGTCAACCATCGATCGAGTTGGTTGAAGCAAGTGAAGAGACTTTTGGTGCTTCTGCTACGGAGTATGTGTGCAATACTTATGTTTGTAGCTTAGAAGCAAGTGGTCTTTGTTCATTTAATCCTTAGGCCGCGCCACGGCAGATCTGTATGTCCGTTCCCGACTGTCACGCGGTGGCGCATTCACATGACCTACCTGAATGTTAGTCCAACTTAGCTATTGCCTTTGTTTTTCGTCGGTGAGCAGATTGCATCGACCAACACACCCCGCCACCAAGTGATTTGTCATTCAATCCCGGAAGAGACAAATTACAGTATCCCAAAATGTAGCCACGACCAGATCTGCACCATGAATGCAGATAAGAATATTGGCGACGAGAATACGACATGATCATCAAAAAAAGTCTCAAGAGATCCAGTTCGCTTGGGAGGAGCATTAATCTCCCAGACGTTTGGTAGGGATCGAAAGGTAACTGATTGCACAGGGGTGATCATCGTGAGGGTCAGAGTGGATCGCTTACCTTCAAGCCCCCTAATATCACGTGCCATTGGTTCTCCAGTTTATTTTAGCTACCACTGTCGTAGATGCTCAACAGAATCAAGGAAGTGGTTGACTGAAGGAAGAAGGCTCTAACTGAGCTATGCAACGTAAATGCCCGACTTCTGGGTAGCTAGGCCGGCTGACCAAACGCTAGACATCTGCATCGTAATTTCTCACAGCCAGTCGCTGGCGAGCCACCAGGTATGACAACATGACCGGCTATCTTGATCTGCTCTATAGTGTGAGGAATGAGAGATTTCGCATAGCTAAGAAAAGGCGGAGTCCATTTTTGTGTCGCAATAGAACAACTTCTACTTAAATTCCCTGGCCATTTTCCAGATGGTTTCTGCGTTCAGTTGACATCCAATTGCGGCTTTGTTCTGTACACTTTAGCATGTGATGTTGATACGATATTTGGATGAACACAGATTGAGGCACTTAGGCCACCAAACCCCTGACCAGGCTCTTAATTTGTCGGATTGTACAGTAGCTGATTATGTATGTACTGTACATAGCGACTGAAGGGCTGTTCTAGATAGCTCTATCCTACGCACTACTGTAGTAAAACCTTATCCTCAAGTCAAAGAGGCTGGCTCAATAATTGTTCAAACTAAGCTCTTGACAGGGCAAGAAACAATCACCCTATATTGACAATGACTGTACGATCGAGGTACAATGATAGCTCTATTTGTGGTGGTCTGCATTGTTGCCAAATGCGAGAGTCGGGTTAAATAACAACAACAACAACAACAACAACAAGAAGAAGAAGAAGAAGAAGGCGAGCTGTAAATAAAGGTGTTGAATTCCAAAGTTTATAATACTTCGATTTCCGGATATGATACATACAGTAGCACGGCTGTTGCGGGCCAGGCTGTGCATAGGCAGCAGAATCCAAAATCAGGTTGGAATAACATGTAAGGATTTTGCTTTTGTTACAGATCTGGTCTGGTAACGCTTCTCATGAGGTTCTCTGTGACTGTCTTCTGTTCTCCTGGTATTGATCCGTCGCCTCTTGTTAGGCACCGATTCATCGTCAATTCCCAACTTTGGCGCAGGTCTCTTGCGTGTAAAACTCTGGCTTTCGATTTCATTAGGAAGCTTTTTGACCCGGGCAGATCTAGGCTTTTCATGGGCGATGGGACGTGGAACTGAAGTTGACGATCCACGTGAGGATTGTGCTTTAGTTTTTGATCTGGTCTGGCACCGCGATTCAGGCGCTTCTCGGTGGCTACCCTTCACTCGTTCGGCAGACGATGAGTCCATGGCGCTTTACGACCTTCCGCGGACCGAACTAGAATCAACCAGAAATTTTGATTCTTGAAGCAAGTATCACCGGTGGGGACATGAAAGTCAGGGGACCAAGCCAGGATAACAGCACAAAACCCTCGAAAGTCGTAGATTGATTTTCATCGATTGACCTTGGATCTTGAACGAGAATATTCAAGAATAGTCGACAGAAGTGAGCAAAGCACGTAACTTATATCAACGGTGCTGGGTGAGGAGCATCAAACATGAGCGTCGTTCTGAACCTGATGCCTTGCTCAACCCGCAACAGAAAGCTCGCCAACTGTCGCATCAGAATGCCCATTCAAAACCGACCCCAGTATATAATAAAAGGTGTCGGCAATAATGGGGTCATATATATCCATATTGCAGAGAACTTGACGCTTCTATTGCAGCATCCCAGGCAGATTATGTATAGTGTATAAACGGGCGGTTGGTGGTAGCAGTGCCTATCAGAGTACAGACTCATATCGCGCATTTCTAGATTAAGACCATGGTATATTATAACCATCCATCGGTATCTGCTACATAATATGTGGCACTCTTTGATTTCGTTGGGTTTTGGCGGTACAAGGGAAACACGATTCTATAATCCATTGGCTGGCAAATTATGATCTGCGTTTCCTCAAGTTCATTAGCCATAGTTATATTTTCTAGTCCGGAGCCTCTCATACAGCGTATATGATACTCAGATCTCATAGGGATACATGCACTGTTCTCCATGTACTGACTCGCAACTGGCTGTGGGGATGAACTAGCTGAATACGATCTTATTTTGTACCCTGGCCGCGAAGCTTTGCTAATCGTTGAACATACGTAGCGGCTCATCCCGGTATCCTTTGTTTCCAGTATGACAAGCGTAGTACTGTACTAGACTTTACATGGAATTGTTACAAAAGTGCTAGACTAGTTTTCCTTGGCTCAATTCTCAGATCAGGAACATCGTCAATGCACCTGTGATGCTGCGTGGGATGGCCACTATTACTAAGTTAGCTGGGCTACTCGGCCAGAAGAAACGCCAGAGCAAACATCCCCTAGTTGGCAGGAATCAATCTGTAGCGATAATAATAATGATGATTTATCTGAGGGCAAGCTAGTAAGGCTTTCGCGGAGGTCTCCACGATTCTGATATTCGAGATCCGTCTCCTGTACCGGAGTTGATGATTGTTCCAAGGTCGGTCCATCCCTCAGGTCCAGGCGATTTGGATGTAGCAACGCTGACAGCACTATCCCGACACCCCGCAACGCTAACGCAGTAGTAAAGGTAGAAATTATCGTCGACTTGGGGGGCTGTGGGTGCCCACATGGCGGTACGGTCTCCCTTGAGGACTACACTGTCTTTGGCCAAGACGGAACTGGTCTGCTCCCATGGCCCGTCCATGAAAGGCGTCTCATGGATGACCAGGTGTTCGCCCACACCGTAGGAGTAATAGGTCCCATTGACTTTGATGATGGTAGGGTCATGGATACGAAGTTTGGTGCCATGAGTAGCCGGCCAGGGTGAGACAGGTCGAGAGCAGCCTTGGGCTTTGTCGTCGGAATTGGGAGCACAGATTCCCGCGGTAGCGACCAAGAGGACAGACAACGAGGCTGATGAGCGGACCATATTGATCACGGTATGATGAAGGGATGACTGTTTTGGTCAAGATCCATGCCAGGAATATTCTGCTGCACGATGAAGAACCTGGAAAAATATGTGGAATGGGAAGGCTCTCCGGAGAGAGATGAAGGGAACAGCCCTGACGATGATCTGGGCGGAACCGTAAGTTGGAGCTGTCTGTCATTTGCATAAGGTAGGATCAATGTACAGTATGTACAGTAAAGGTCAAAATTGATGTTTCCAAATTAACACCTTTATCTATTTCCAGTCCCTACTTCCAACAACTATAAAAAGCCTATTCCTAAAGGCGGCCACCATGCAATTGTGTCAATTTACCCACCCAGGTACGACGGAATCTCGCAATTTACGCGCGCATCTCCATCCGGGTTTATTGTAGGATCGTGAGAACTACCAAGCATATGCGTGCAAGACCTACCGGGTTCCGGCTCCATTCGCCCCATAGTGCTATGCAGAAAGCAGTGAAGACATTGTTGTTCGCATGTTGCTACTTTGAAAGGGGCAAGAACACATATCTGCTTTCGAAATCAAACTAATCCAATGCGAGAATATACTCCTATCGTCTTAAAATAGAGTGTTGGTGTAATCGATAACCATCAATTCCAAAAAGGTCGGAAGACCGGTCCACCAGGGTGCTCATGTAAGCTAAATTGCAGCTCTCCAAGCCAAAGTTGCAATGAAAGTATTAGTACTGTATATAGCACTGAAAACGTCTTAGGGTACTTCTCGATTACTTGGCATACCAGAGCTTGGTTGATGCGCTGATGTTTAGCGCACCACGCAGCATTCACTATTCCTAATACAGATTAGCGTACCTCGCGGAGTAAGCCGTGGCTGTCCATATTAGGTTAAGCGGATGTAGTTCCCGGTTTGGTTGATGGACTGAAGCAAAGATGGAAAAGAGAAGTAAAACTGTGATTTAAGATATGGGTCTCGTAGAAAGCTATTGTTTTTGCATATAACAGCGACAGGGAGGTTCCCACGCAGTGGAAAAGACTTCGGAATATGTAGAAAGCAGCAGAGAGCCAGCACCCTAGCCGTACCATCGAGGATTTGATCGTCGAAATATCGGGTTAACGTATCAAGCGGAATCGTCTATCCCAATCCGGCTTAGTGTACCTCGCGGGGTAAAGACGACAGCAAGGCTAATAAAATAGCGCAGTTTCTAACCACTACGCTATCCAGTTGAGCCAGTTCCACTAACTAAATCTCCGCAACAGTTTTGTTAAAAAACGGATATTAATCTCGGTTAAATGATCAATCAGGCAATATTAATTTTGAGCTCAATACAGGACCCATCTCGAACGATCCTTAGGCCGTTGACTGCACAAACGGACCTACCACGACTCCATAGCCTTTATCAACGTAGTATTAGCGATTTGCCTCGTATGCCTCGTCCAAGATGATTGGCAGGAAGGCAAATTCTCCCAAGTACTCGCAGGGACCGGGACACGCTGTCCCTGAAATGCGAGTTGTGGCCCACATGGGCCGCTTGATCACCGTCTCCATGTGGAGTAGGTTTACTTCACTTACAAGCCCCGAGGGTAAGAAACACATCACGGGATACAGTTTGTACTGTTGTTCCATATTGCTCTAGAAAGATATTTGTGTCTACTATCGTTGCTGCCCTGCACTATGGCTTGGTACTGTATATACACCGGAATTTTGGCCAAAAGAAAGAACGACACCGATGACCTTGCCGTCTCGCATTTCCTCACCATTTGCGTGAATCTGTATGAAGTATATGAATCTCGTCTCGAGCCATTGGGATCAATGTCCGACTCAAGTGATCAAGAATGCTGGTTGGAAAAGGAAAATCAGCTGGACGAAATTGCAATCAAACGACGGAACTATAGCGACAAGAGCAAAGAGCTCCAAGGGTGGGTTTGGAGGTTATGGTGTCGGTAGGTAGCTAACTCTGTCTTGAGGTGCGCTGCGGATATTATAAATGATTAACGACTATAAGCTTCTGCGCAAACACAAAGCGTGACCCAGACGAGCTGATCAGACAGAACGAAATGTCGATCAAAGTGCTTTACAACTTTTGGGATTATACCATCACAAAGCGCCGCAAGTATATTGATGCTGCATCAACATTACAAACGTATTGGAACGTCTGGACGACTGAACGACGAAAGAGGACCGGCTTATCCATTCCAGACTACATCAAGGACGACATGAAAGGTGTAGGTTTCCTCATTTAATGTTGATATTATAGGTCGCAGCCACTAACCACAGCATCAGGTTCGCGAGCGGTTGGTTATTCGACACCAGTTGAGGACCGATCCTAAACCTCGGCCGCACGCCCGATCGGAGGATGTCTTCGAACTGCAAAAGACCCTATGGACTACAGGAAACCAAACTTGGGATCCACTGCAGCTTGCCGTGTTTATGCTACTGGCTGGGCCGACGGCCCACCGACGGAGGGCTTTGCTCACTCTCCGGCATTGTGATATCTTTTTGACCCTGTTGCCCGATCCTGGTTGCCACGAATGGCCGCAGATTGTCGTGGAGGTAAAGCCGGATAAGACAAAGCGATACCGATGTCGCCGGAAACGAACGCAAGTACCATGATGTTCGGGCTCAAGAAACTTGTTCAGGGTGTGAGGACTGACATGGAACATAGGACCACGATTTCCCTACTCGAGGTGCCTGGTGAAACATGCCTTTTTCTGTGCCCCAAAACGTTTCTACTCGGGTTGTTGGTACGAAAGGCGGCATTTCGTGACCTGGATATTGTGTCAGCCGAGCAGTTATACGATCTGAGAATTCCCCCGGACGCGCGCCAACTCTCCCTGAAGCTTGCTGATCCTGAGGCCTTTCTGTTCAATATGACCGAAAGCACCCTGGACTCACATCTAAGACGGCTCGGAGAGCTAGCTGGTTACGATCACACAGTCACTTCAAAATGGTTTCGCCGGGGGGGCGGCGAGGCGGTAAACAGTAGCAGTACGGTTCCCGAGTACTTTTCCTTTTGTTAATGAATGAACGGTGTCAAGGACTGACCAGCGGACAGCCGAGATCAGTGAAGCGCAACAAAATCTACTCATGCAACACAGAACGGGTACTGTGTATCAGGATAACTATGCTCCCGATCATCTGCCAGCTGACGTGTACTCCGTGTGGAGAGGCCTGGCACCGCAGCGGGAGATGGTGCGAATGACTAGCGGCCAAAGTCGAACCATTCGCAAGGATCGACCCGTTGACTTGACAGACGCACAGAAGGCAGAAGCAATGAACGACCCAGACGTGCAACGTCGTTTGGAGCTTTGGGTGACATGCAAGGCCAAGGTGGCGATGGAATATGGCAACCTTTCTAAGGCGAAGGGAACCCAGGATTACCAAGAAGCCTTACAGCGGCGCAATAAGTACCACGCGGCCGTTCGGGCCGCAGAAAGAGCCAAGAAACGAGAGGTTCGGGCTCACTTTAATGAGGAACAGCCAGTAACCGACGTTCGGCGGCAGGTCCATGGCCTCCCATTTGAAACTGCAAGCCAATCAGCTCCGAATGCAACCCCTCCGGAGCAATACCGCGCGTTTGAAATGGTGTTTCGGTTCGCACCTTCGTCACCCCAAGATAATCGTCGCTGCCGTGTGACCGTGATTAATGCTCTTTCTCAGGTAAAACCGAGGTACTGGCCGCGGGCCCAGCAGAGCCATATACAACAGACTCCCTCTGTGGTTGTGGCCCCTTTGCAGGAGAGTACCAATCTCCGTCATCAACCGTACCGACTCAGTGAAAGACAATGTTTGTGGTGTGTCATAGCCAAGACACGATTGGAACCATTTAAAAGTCCTTACTCCCTTTACCGCCATATCTGCCGCCTTCATATCAATGATACACAGGCAGAATGGCCTGTTCGTTGCCCGGATGCCATTTGTGGAGAATTATTATCGTGTCAAAATGAGTTCCGGAACCATATGGCCATAGTGCACGGCTCAATTTTTTGATACTTTGAAGCTTCATATTGGTATCCGCCGTAGATCGTTTTCGGATGTTATCACACCCTACGCGCAACTAGCGAATCAAGCTCACCTACATAGGGATAAACTGTATATACAGTATCTGACGTTGACACGCAGTCGGACTTTAACCCAATTCATATATACATTGTCAAAGGCAAGTAAGATCAAATTCAGCTTAGTCAAAAAGATTCTTTTGCAGGTAGTATGTCTATTATGACGTGATTTGTTTGGTACAATGCATATCTGGGCCAATTGGTAGATTCGGCTATTCTATAGTGTATTTTGCTCTTTTGTACGATCCAAATACATTTTCAATGGAATTCAGCTTCTCTATACTTGTGAGACCTGCTAAGAACGCGTTCAGCCATATGGTTGAAGCTAAAAGGCCCGATGTCGTCATCTCTTGCTATCAAGGAAAATCACCGAGCAATATTGTCGAGAACATTGCTAATGTAGGGGTTGGTGAAGTTTTAGTGCCCCGGGTTCAAAGTCAGCTCGGAACTGGGAGTCTATAGTCGGACGACATATACAGTGTGTGTGTGTGTGTATTCATACTCTGACCCCTCGCGAATTAAAGCGATATGCAGGAGATCTCTGTCTACTTCTCTCTATATACATTCCTCATGTACGTTGAACCATTACTTTCCTGACGAATTTGGAGCCTCGTCGAGGCCTATGTTGGTCTAGTTGCCTAGTGTTCTGTTCTGCGGCCCCCGTGGCCCGCGACTTCGAAACCTCTGGGACGCCTCTGCGAAGTCCAGTACAGCCTCTAGGGTGCTGCGGTCTTGTTCAGCGTCTTGTGTCTTACCTGCCTTACCTTGTTGCCCTCCTAGCATGCTTGAAATGTTGCTAAATGCAGCTCCAATCTTCCTCCGTAATTGTTGTCGTAGGTCTCTGAGTTTCGGGCAGTCCACTAGTACGTGGACTACCGTCTCGCGAGCTCCACAGACACATCTGTCATCGTCCTGGAAACCATGTTGTTTCCTGTACGTTGCCAGCCAAGAGTGGCCCGTCCGAAGTTGTGTGAGTAGATATGCTCGGTTCCGTGGGAGCGATCCGTACAGTTTTCGGGTACGGACTACAGGCAGGGTTTTGTCGATCTGGCGGAGATGCCCTCCCTTTGTAGATTTAGTCCACTCTTTCTTCCACTCGTTGAAAATTCTCTTCCGGATGAAGCCCTTTTCGCGCGATATAAGGTGCTGGAAGGAGTGCATTTTCCTTGGGCCTACCGCTTCCTTTGCCAGCCGGTCGGCCTCGTCGTTTCCGGGATCGTCGCAATGCCCTGGCACCCATTGGAGGCGAATTGGGATCCCTCGCGCTTTCATTTCGGAGGCTGCCTGCAGTATGGCTCGAATGATTCGCTGGCCGGACTTGTTGGACGGGTTACGAATTGCTTGCAGTGCTGACATGCTGTCGCTTAGAATGGTTGCGGGTTGTTCCACTCTGTCTGAACGGTTTTGCCTCTTCTGTGTAATTTGATAGACCAGGCTGATGGCGTAGAAGATCGCCATGAGCTCTGCTGCGTATACCGACCAGTGTTCCATTGATCCAATGCTGACTTGTCGCGATTCCAACGCTTGCTGTCCTTCGTTGAAGGCTACGGCTGCGGCCCCTAGGTGGTTCTGCTGGCCTGATGCATCGGAGAAGACCGTAGTTCCCGGCATATCCCGTCTGGTCGCGGCGTTCTCTTTGGCTTTTTCTCGGTTAGGTTCGATCTCGATCTCAGCAAACATTTGCTCTCGCCATGGTGCCAGTGGTTTGGGGTCAATTGTCTCCAGGGCTTGCAGGCGGCGGAGGTCCATTATTCGTAGTATCTTAGCCAGCGGGAAGTAGCAATGGTGTCCAAGATGTGTGCTGCGGGTTCTTGCTCGGGCCACCACACCATGGATTGGGTGGTGTTCCGGCAATGTGCTCAGGCTGGCCGCGATGAGCTGGGCGCGTTGCTTCAGCCGTAACCGAGTTGGTAGTGTATAGGATTCCACTTCGAGTGCCTGTGTAGATATTGTTCTAAAGGCAGAAAGAACCCGTATCAGAGCAGCTCGCTGGATGGTTGCTAGCTGCCGCAGGTGGGTCTTATCCTTCAGGGGGTTGTGCCACACGGTAGATGCGTAGTCTACCACCAGTATCACGCAGGCTTGATAGAGTTGTCTCATCTGTTCCGGTCGTAGGTGTCGAAGTCCCCCTAGTGCGATATTGACTTTGGTCGCTCGTTTGAGCACTTGCTGGACATGCTCCTTCCATCGCAGTTCTCTGTCAAAGATGACCCCGAGGAGCTTTATTGCTGTGGTGGGTTTGATGACCTTGCTGTTCATAGTGATTTCTCCCTGGTCTTGTTCCTTCTTGTTTCTCGTCAGGTGAATTAGCTGTCTTCTCCGCTGCAAAGCATGGGCCAGTTCGTCGGGCCCATGCTTCGATGCGTGGGATGTCTTCTTCCTGCAGCTTCCTAAGGTTTTCCTCCGTCGACTGACCCACTCGCCAACGGAAGTAGTCGTCAATAAAGGCCGATGCTCCTCCTTTGGCGTCCACTGGTTGACATATACAGGGTTGGTTGGTTGGTTGTATTCATACTCTGACCTCTCGCCTTTGGCGATATGCAGGCTACTACAGCTAGAGCTATCCTTGTATGCCTATTTACAGTGTTCCATGTTATATGAACGAACTTAGAGCCTCGTCAGGGCCTGTGGTGGCCTGTTTGCCTTGGAGCTGTATCCTTGCGGTCCCTTGGATCCGCGACTTCGGAACCTACCTGATGCCTCCGCAAACCGTAGCACTGCGCCCAGTATACTGCCCTGGGAGAGGTGTCTCGACTCGTCTCCCGAGCTTGTTCGACCCTTTCCCCCGAGCATAAGTGATATATCGTTGAAAGCTTCTCCAACCTCCTTCCGTAGCTTTTGTCGTAAGGTCCTCAATTTCGGGCAGTCCATGAGCACATGGACTACGGTTTCCTTTGCTCCGCATTCGCATTCATCGTCCTCACGAAAGCCACGCTTTTTGGCATGCGTGGCGTGCCACGAGTGACCTGATCGCAGTTGTACAAGTAGGTAAGCCTCATTTCGGTTTAATAGTTCGTACCGTCGTAGAGCGTGGATCGAAGGTAACGTGTTGTCGATCCGGCGAAGATGTTCGCCCTTTCTGGTTGTCGTCCATTCTCGTTCCCAGTCCTTGAGAGTCCGATCTCGTATGAATCCTCTTTCTCGAGAGACGAGGCGGCGGAATGGGTGTGTACCCTTTAGTCCTACTGCTTCCTTGGCCAGTTGGTCCGCTGCATCATTTCCCGGATCATCGCAGTGTCCCGGGACCCACTGGAGGCGAAGGGGAATCCCTCGAGCTTTTAGTTCCCTGGCAGCCTGAAGGATAGCATGAACGATCCGTTGTCCAGATTTGTTCGATGGGTTCCTGATTGCTTGCAGCGCTGACATGCTATCGCAGAGAATCGTTGCCGGGTTCCGGTTTGATGTCGAGTGTGAGGGCCTCTCATTCTTATGGACTACCTTGAGAACAAGGCTTATGGCATAGAATATCCCCATGAGCTCTGCGGTGTAGACAGACCAGTACGACATGGTCCCCACACAGACCTGTCGGGATTCTGCGATTTTCAGATTTTGGTCTAGAGCTACCGCGGCGGCCCCGAGTTGGTTCTGCTGTCCTGACGCATCTGAATAGACAATGATTCCTGGAGTGGCCCGCAAGGTAGCGGCATTCTTTTTGGCCTTCTCTCGGTCCGACTCAATCTCGATCTCTACAAAGGCCGGTGGGTCCCATGGAGCCAGCGGCGTGGGGTTGATAGTTTCCACTGCCTCGAGGCGTTTGAGATCCATTGTCTTCATGGTCTCCGCTAGTGGAAACCGAAATCTTGATCGTGCATTGCGGCTTCGTCTGCTGGCCCTCTCTAGTACCTCTCGTATCGGGTGGTTACTCGGAAGGGTGTACAGGCTGGTGATCATCATCTGTGCTCGTTGCTTGAGCCTCAAGTGCGTTGGCAATGTATATGCCTCAACTTCCAGAGTCTGCGTGGCGACGGTTCGGAATGCGGACAGAACTCGGATTAGTGCGGTCCTCTGTACCGTGTTGAGGGCCCTGAGGTGTGTTTTGTCCTTCAGTGGATCGTGCCAAACTGCTGACGCGTAGTCCACAACAGGGACAACGCATGCTCGGTAGAGCTGTCTCATTTGACCTGGGCGCAGATATCGCAGTCCGCCTATGGCGATGTTTACTTTCGTGGCACGCTTCACTGCCTGCTGCACGTGTTCTTTCCATCTTAGTTCTTGGTCGAATATCACCCCCAAGAGTTTCGCGGTCTTCGAGGGCTGGATCCCTTTCCCTCGCATAGTGACTTGTCCTATTTGTTGCTCCCCTTTCTTCCTTGTAATATGAATCAATTCCGTTTTGTCTGCGGCGAAGGTAGCCCCTGTCCATTGGGCCCACGACTCAATCCTCGGGATGTCCTCCTCCTGGATTTTCTTGATGTTTTCCTCGGCCGACCGGCCAACGCGCCAGCGGAAGTAGTCATCAATATAGGCTGATGCGCCACCGTGGAAGTCAACCGGTTGGTCTACCAGGTCCGAGTTGAAGAACGTGAAAAGGATCGGTGATAGTGGGGAGCCTTGCGCTAATCCGGCGTTGTGCAAGGGTGCCACTGCCGTTTCAAAATCATCGAAGCTGATGCTCGCGGAACGGTCTTCCATGAAGCTCTTGGTCCATCGCCGTGCTATAGTTGGGACCCCTTTGGCCCGCAGGCAGCCATCTAGGCTTGTCTTATTGACTCCGTTGAATGCTCCTTTCAGGTCAAAAGCTACAAGTGTGATCACTTTTGATTTTTGCCATGAACGGTCAATTGCGTTCACTAGGACTAGGAGCGCTTGTTCTGTGTTTCGCCCGGGCCGTCCCCCAAATTGAGTATCCCGTAGCAGCCCGTGCCTCTCGGTAAAGAATGACAAACGTTTGGCTATTACTGCTTCGAGCACTTTCCCGAGCGTGTTCAGCAG